GAGGAAGAGCAACAAGTGGAAAATTTATTTGAACAAATAATGAAGGAGAACTTCCCCAATCTGGCAAAATAGACTTCCAGGAAGTCCAGGAAGCTCAGAGAGTCCCAAAGAAGTTGGACCCAAGGAGGAACATACCAAGGCACATCGTAATTACATTACCCAAGATTAAAGTGAAAGAAAGGACCCTAGAAGCAGCAAGAGAAAAGGGGACAGTTACCTACAAAGGAGTTCCTATCAGACTGTCAGCTGATTTCTCAAAAGAGACTTTGTAGGCAAGAAGAGACTGGAAAGAAGTATTCCAAGTCATAAAAGGCAAGGACCTACATCCAAGATTGCTCTATCCAGCTAAGCTTTCATTCAGAATGGAAGGGCAAACAAAGTGCTTCTCAGATAAGGTCAAGTTAAAGGAGTTCATCATCACCAAGCCCTTATTTTATAAAATGTTAAAGGGACTTATCTAAGAAAAAGAAGATAAAAAATATGAACAGTAAAATGACAGCAAACTCACAATCATTAACAACCACACCAAAAACAAAAAAGCAAACTAAGCAAACAACTAGAACAGAACCACAGAAATGGAGATCACATGGAGGGTTAGCAACAGGGGAGTGGGAGGGGAAGAAGGGGAAAAGGTATAGAAAATAAGTAGCATAGATGGCAGGTAGAAAATAGAAAGGGAGAGGGTAAGAATAGTATAGGAAATGTAGAAGCCAAAGAACTTATATGTATGACCCATGGACATGAACTAAAGGGGAGGAACGTGGGTGGGAGGGGGTGTGCAGAGCAGAGGGGAGTGAAGGGGGGAAATGGGACAACTGTAATAGCACAATCAATAAAATACATTGAAAAAATGTAAAAAAAAAGCTTCATTCAAATTTAGCTCTCTGCTAAAACTAAAAAATGATGGCCTTGCCAATGCCTCCCCACATGATTTTAAGATCCTGAGAGTGGGTGTTTCTGGAGATTCAGCTGATTAATAATGAACCAAAACTGGGATCATTTAGTTTGTCACTTACTTCTAAATCTATCAGTTTTCTAGTAATGTTGCTTTCCATAAGTAAATGGCTCTTCCATTAAAGTACACATCTGTTACACATCTGTACAACTTTCAAATGTCATCACCTCTGAAGTAATTATCTCTGGATCAAAAAATACCTTTCCAATCTAAAGGTGTGCTTGTGTGTCTTAAAGATTTCTTCTGAAGAGAATACTATGGCTTCCAATGGATTTTTCCACAGCCTGTCCTTTAAGGAATATGTGTAGCTTCTGGCTGACCTAATTTTTAAATTCTGTATCTAAAGTTCTCTTTGAATGCACTAGTTTACCGCATGCTTGAAATCACTCTTCAAAAATGCTTCCCCATGTAACAATGCTGTTTGGTCTCATGATATATTTTCATATTATATCCTCCTATGTGAAGCCTCTGATTCTAGACATTAAGGACATGATCTAGAATATGTAAGACTAAGAATATGTTGTAAGGGGAATACTAAAAACACTACTTTTTAAACAATTAGGAGTGTAATGTTAAAGAGACTTATTTAAGAAAAATAAGATCAAAACTATGAACAATAAAATGGCAATAAATACATATCAACAACTGAATCTAAAAAACAAACTAAGCAAACAAGAACAGAGACAATCATGGATATAGACAATGTTTTGATGGTTGCCAAATGGTGGGTGGGGGGGGGGATGGGTGAAGAGGCGAGGGGGTTAAGAAGTGCAAACAGGCAAACTGGTAGTCACAGAATAGCCATGGAGATGTAAAATCCAGTCTAGGAAATGGAGTAGCCAAAGAACCTACGTATGACCCACGGACATGAACAATGGTGGGGGGATTGCCTGAGGGAGTGGGGGGTGCTGGGTGGAGGGGGGCAAAGGAGAAAAGTCAGGACAACTGTAATAGCATAATCAATAAAATATAATTTTAGAAAAAGAATACATTGTCTGTACCGGGAATACTAAAAAGACTACCTTTTAAACAATTAGGAGGAAGTTAAACCAATCCAGCCATTTAAGTGAAAAGACCTTGATTTAGTGAGCCATGAAAACCCATGGCCTTGAGGTGGACTGACACAGGATTGAATTCTGTATATCATACTTTTTAGCCCAATGACCTCAAGTGATTTACTTAAAACTTTTACATCTATTTTCTCATATGAGATGTAAAGATGATAATATTATAGCTCAGAGCTAACATAAGTATAATATAAAACTAGGTCTATTAAATACCAATGCATTATATTGCACAAAACAGATACTTAAGCCATGTTAGCTATTCTTCTTTTGACTTCATAGGATAGCAATGAGGAATTGAATTTACTAAATTAGAATAAAAGGTTATATTTATGTGATGCTAAACTGTGCAAAATATTCTTATAGAGAAGTGCCTGTCATTCTATTACTTTTGTTCTTTCCCCATTGTAGTTCTATATATTTTTCATTTCTAAAGGGAATGGCAATTTCACAAGAAGTTGCCTGAAATCTTGTGTTTAAATAACTTGCTGGTAGATGCTTGGCATGCCTGTTTCTTCTTCCTGAGCGCACGGCTCAATTCCATTCCCCAATCACCCCCATGTTCTTATTTAGCAAAAAACAATGGGCACAGAACTTTTGGTCTGGCCCAAAATTCTTCTCTGTATGATCTCTCTTCCTCTTCGTGTCGGCTAGGATGAAGATGGTCACATTGTTCTTGTGAGTCTTGTATAGAATACAGTAGCATCACACCGTGGAAGTAAGGGCGAGGCTCTGTGATCGACAGAATACTGCAGAAGTGCTGTTGTGTGACTCCACGGCTAGGGCACCAAAAGCACTGCAGCCTCCACCTTGGCTGGCGTCTTGGACGGCTATCTAGGGGAGGCGAGCCACTACACCGTGAGGATGCCCAAGCAAACCCCTACGGGGAGGCTTATGTGGAGAGGAAGCACAGCTGTTTGCCAACCACCAGCATCATTTTGACAGCTGTGTGAGTGGGCCCCATGAAAGTTTCTCCAAGCTTTCAGCCCCATCCAAAGAAGTCTGCAGATGTCTACAACCCTAGACTATATCTGACTCTTGGTAAGAAACTCTTAGCAGAGTTGCCCTGACAAGCTACTTCCTAAGTTTTAATCCACAGAAATTATAAGAGATAATAAACATTATTTTTAAGCCAAAAAAACAAAACAACTGTGACTTCTATCTTCCTCCAACCACACATAAAAACTTAAATAACTAAATAAAAAACTTAAATGTAAAGGAAAATACTAAAAAATTAGACTTCAATAAAATTAAACTTTTGCTCTTCAAAAGACATTGTTCAGAAAATGAAAAGGCCAACTACAGAATGGGAGCAAGTATTTGTAAAACCTAATAAAGGATTTTTATCAATACATACAAAGAAATCTTGAAAATCAACAAAAATACAAATAACCCAATTTAAAAATGTATAACAGGTTTGAACAGACTCTTGCCCAAGAAGATATACAAGTGGCAAATATATGAAAAGATGCACAACATCATTAGTTGTGAGAGAGATGCAAATTAGTACTACAAAATACCACTATTCACCCCCAGAATGGATGAAACTTTTTAAACTAACAATGTGAAATGTTGATAAGGTATGGTATGGTTGATAAAGATGGAAAATGGTACAGCTACTTTGAGATACAGCTTAGTGGTTTCTTATAAAGTTAAGCATACACTTATCATAAAACCCAGCCAGTCCACTCCTAGGTTTTTACCCAAGAGGAATGAAAGCAATATTTTCACCAAAAACTTATACTCAAATACTCAGAGCAGCTTTACTGCTAAAGACCAATAGCTAGAAATAACTCGAAGGTCCATTAACTGGTGACTAGATAGATACACAAATCATGGTATATCTTTACAACAGATTCTACGCAGCAATAAAAAGGAACCAAATACTTTTACAACATCAATAGATCCCAAAAGTATTATGCTACTGAGGGAAGATGCCACACACACAAGACAGTGGGCTGTATGATTCCTTCCGTACAAAACTGCAGAGAAGCTACCCACGCTGCCAGAAGCCAGGCCCGTGGTGGCCAGACACTGGAAGTGAGGGGACAGGACAGACGCTAAAGGGCACGAGCGAAGCTTCTGTGCCATGGAAATGTTTTATATTGTGACTCTGTTGGTGGTTGCACAGTCGTCGTCAAAATTCAATAAACTGCACACTTAAAACCGGTGAGTTCCACAGTACATAAATTGTATCTTCATGAAGTTTTTTTAATGAAACACTAGAATAATGTCTAGCATATATACACATGTATATATATACACACACTCAATATTAGCTAAAAATAACTATTATGGCAATCCAAGAAAAAATAGTGTCATAGAGAAAAGACTGAGAATTTTAAGGTTTTTTTCAGAGATGAGATAAATCCAGGCATTTATTTTTAATACACCCTGTTCTATTCACAGACAGTGTGAGGGCTGAGGGGGAAGCGCTGTCACTGAGCTCCAGTCTCTACGAAAAGAGGACTGGGCGCAGAGCCCCACGACTCGGGACTCCCCTGAGGCTGGCCGGCGTCTCTCAGCAGCATCCAGGTAGCGCACAGGGCAGACATCCCAGCTTCAAAAAGGCGAGTGGTAAGTGTTATGTAAGGCACCAACAAAAAGTCAGAGTGAATAATGCCACATGAAAAGTAGGGCATAACATTTCACTGAAAGTCTAACAGCACTTGAGAGAATTTGAAACTTGTGACTAAACACTTCAAAACTACTTCAAATAAAACAGGAGGCAAACAGCAAAGTGAGGCTGCCAAATTTAAATAGTTGCGTAAGTGACACCAGGGACCACACAACCGAGACACTCCAAGAACCAAGTTCTCTCTGCACCTAGCAGGACCTAGCCTGCGAGTGGCAGAGTCTGGGAGCAATCCCCACCCCTCCCCCACCACTCATACACACCCACTGACACACAACACGCCGTTGGGGATTCTGAGTAAAGCGGTTATACAAAGAAAGGGAACTGAGTAAGGGTCCCTTCTTACCCTCCTCTGCTTCATCCTCCTGGGGCGACAGTGGGCCCCCTCCACTAGTAGGAGTGAGTGGCTGCTGCTCCTCAGACTCTCGCTGGAGACTCACCACCTCATAGATTGCATCTCCAGCACTGGTGTGACCTTTTCCCTCGGACTGAGAAAGACATAAACATGTGTTTCAATGTTAGAAACCAGAAGGAAGCCCTGAAAGATGTGTTTCAATGGTCCTCTTCAAAGAGCTGGGCCGAAGAGTGGCATGCCCTGTTTGAGAAACGGTTGGAAGTGCTTTCTTCTTCGCATGATACTCTACATGCATGGTTCTTCTAGCATCATGTCAACCAAAAAATGAAACCTACTGACCATTTGGGGAGAAGTCCATCTTTTTTATTAGAAAAAAAAAAAAAAACAGATTCTAGGACAGGCAGGTAAACCTGATTCTTAAGACTGCCTCACACTGAGGGGAAGAGGATTCGGTTACATCCTTCAACTAATTCACAGAAGTAGATCATTTCTACCTTATAAATGGTTTACACTCCAAATGGCTTTTTAAGGAGGAAAAACTAAGGTAACTGCCAATTAACTAACCCAGCAATGCCCACAAAGCCTAGACCAAGTGCCTCCAGCCTCATCTCAGACCCAAGTGTGACACTACACCCCCCACCCCGGCCTGGTTTCAGCGCTAGAAACCTTTAAACCCCCCCTGGCTCAAAGGGGTAGGGACATCCTTCTCTCTCTGCCAAGAGAGCCTTTCCTCCTGCTCTTTGCTCAGTCCCAGCAACCTTGGATCTCTTCACTTCCACAAAGAATCCAACCTGAGTTCCTAAGTTCCCCGTATTTCCATTCTCATCATACCCTGTTCTTCCTTCACTGAACTCCCTGCAACGTAATTACACATTTATTACCATATTCACTTGTTTAATGGCGGTCTTGTGGACTAGAAAGTAAGTGCCAAAAGGGTAGGGACTATGTTCATTTCGATCAGAAATAACACAGTGCCTCGCACAGTGCGTACTGTATTATTAGGTACTCAACAAGCATCAGCGGAGAGATGACTGGTAGTGGTCACCTTCTTCCTTCACTACAAAACAGAAACTGTGTACTACCTACTGACACTGCCTAGTTTAGGAATGTCACAGAAACCCCTAATTTTCTTCACTGAATATTAAAATAATTGTATAACCTTACTGATAAGTCAAACAACATATGGCGTGGGACAAAAGCAGGCTTACAGTTGTTTGTGTGGAAAATAATGCAATAATTAATAAATAATAATATAAGAATAAACTCTGTTTCGCTTACTCATAACTGTAAACCTACTTTTGCCCCACCCCGTATTCACATAGTATTATAAATAGAAATAACTATGACAATTAGTATTACTTGAATATTTTATCATTATAACTTTATCAAAGGTATAGTACATCTGTGCCCTGTCTGTTTGGTTTTAATTATTATATGTAAAAGGAAGAAAAGTTGTTTTAGACATAAAATTGATGTTTCTATTAAGCATGCTGATACTTTACAAGTACACATGACAGGTTTCTAGGGGGAAAAGTAAAGTTATTACGCTAGCTTTTTTTTTAACTTACATAACCTAGATGTGCATTTTTCAAATACTCTATTGCTTGACTCTGTCATTTAGAGAAAAAAAATTATTGCTTTATATTGCTTCTTAAGGAACTAGTGTAGCATTTAAAAAGAATGATAGAAAAAATCTTGTATGTTATTACATGAAGAGAACAAGAAGGCCTTACCTGTTTCAGCCTCATGAAGAAAGTCTCCGTGAAAGTCTTCCTGCTGAAGTACCAGAACCGCTCGTTGGCAGGGTACACGCGGACGAGCGTCTCCAGCAGGAAGCGCACGGGCTCCACCACCTCCGTGACCACCATGTCCACCGCCACCGTCATGTACACTCGCTTGTCTGCGGCAGAAAGGGTCTGCGTCTCACACTGGCTGTACCGGGCCTTGGTTGTTTAAGGAGACAGTCTCCTCACTTACAAAAGAACTAAGCTTCTTTATAATCATATCGCCTTCAACGTTTAATTTTAAATGTTTTATTGTCGGTTTGACGAATAGGTAACCAAGTATTCCAAGTATGTTTCTCAACACACAGGATCCTATTTTAATCAACTGTCCAAGTCTTCTCTGACAACTTTATTTCTTTCCTTCTCCAAATCAGTTCTTAATATAAAATATAAATAATATAAAATTTTCAGGATGTCTTTTACACTAAAACTATCTTTTAGATTTCCCAGGAAAGCCTCTGGAAAAACCACCAAGGTTTGCTCTTCCAACCCATACAAGGAGATACTAGAAATCAGTCGTTTGTTGAGCTGCCTGAGAAGGACTGGCAGATCAGAAGAGCTGCTCTCCCTTCATGATATTAAATCTGTACAGGATGATGTTACTAAAATGTGTATTTCAACATTATGCCTTCAGGGAGATCTGTCAGTACCCTCATTGTCCACAGGATTTATTTACCCTCTGGAAAATCGCTGATCCAAGCTCTAGTGAAATAGTTCTGCGAGTTTTCACATAGATTACATGTGTCTCAAGAGTCCTGGCAAGTGCTTTAGAGCACAACAGTATAGTGTTACCAGTCAAAATTTCACTTATCATTTAAAATGTTTCCTTGGCCACAGCCTTCCTTTCATTTGAATCTGGAATCTTCCAGGCCAGTGGCTACTGGTTTTCTACAGTTGCGCAATGATAGGTTGAAACATAGATTTAATTTTATTTTATTTACCCTGCTTCAGATTCATTGGGGTTTTTAAATCTGTGGCTTGGTTACTTTATACCATTATATCATTATTGCATTACTTTAAAAAAAATTTTTAAATTTGTTGTGCCCATCACTTTTGGTTCTCAGAGGAAAGATCAAATAACCAAGCTCATTAAAAGAAACATTCAGTAGGGTTCTTTAAAAACATTATACAACATTTATAGTCATCAACCACATGCCTATTAATGTCATCAAATTCAACAAAAATTGTATTACATTCTTATTAAATACACACATTCTCCCTGCCAATTCAAGAGAAAGTAGGATTCTCTAGACATTGTACTTGACTCTTGAGAGACCTGAAAGTCTAAGGGGTAATGTAGAAAAGTAAGAGAGAATAACACAAAACATACTGCAAGACACAACTTAGTGTAGTGAAAAGATCTAAGATATTTCCTCTTCCAGGGCCTCAACTTCTTCTGTAAAAACCAAACCATAATTCATGACTCTTCTGAATAATTTATAATATCAAGAACACCATTTGAAAATTTTGGAAATCAGGTCAACATTTTGGAGTTGCATATGAAGTAATTTTAAATTTAAAATACATTATCTTTTGGATCAGAAAATTACTGTAGTAAGAGTATTATATAAAGTTTATTTTAATAAAACAAATTTAAAATACATAATCCTTTACTTGATAATTAAATGTGTATTAAAATACAAAATGAAATTGAATTATGTATTACAGTAAACAAAGATAAAAACTGCTTTTGAAACTCTGATATTTTATTCTTCAAAATTATGCACTGGCTCATTTTTCTCATTTTTGCACTTACCTTCTGAATGATTATAAAAACTAAGTTTACAGGCTGGTATTACAAGCCTGTCTCCAGAAATAAAAAGCTGTGTGTATAAAACTTATTTATTCTTAATATATGAAAAGCTAAATTTTATATAATCATCATTTTTTCTCCCTTTTTAGCCCTTAGTATGAAATCACTTGATGTGCATCAAATGCATGCAATTTACAGGACTGGGAAAGACTCTCTTTAAAAAAATTTAAGAATAATTATCATTTTTATGCTATTCATTAATATATTATACTTCCATATCAGTATCCACTATCTTGAACCAAAAGTCCACTGTGGGTATAAACTAAAGAATGTAAGACTATTATTTTTTTTAAAAAAGATCCATTATTTTCTCAATATAAATTATTGGTTGAATGACAATGAGGCATTTAATGTAAGATTATATAATTTATGATGTAAAACTTTAAGTTTGAAGGCAGGTGGTGGAGGGGGAAAAAAACACAAGAAATTAAAAAGTATCTGGGAAAAGTGGGAATAAAATAAACAATTGGAAAAATGACAAATGTGACTATATACCATTTATAAATTCTGTTCAACATTAGCCATAGTAAACAACACAAAAAAGTAAAGAACAAGGAAAAGTGTGTTTGTCACAAATGAAATACCTGATATACATTACTAAGATCTAAGTTCCCAAAGGTCAAAAGACTGGAACCAAAAAAGTAATGAATGAAAAAAGTAAATAAGCTATAATTTTTGATAAGCTAAATACGTATCAAAAATATGCACAATTTCAGAATGTGCTTTCAGCATTTCTTTCATCGTCTTTCATCATTTCCATAAAAAAAAACAAAACCCAACTCTATAATGACATATGAAGCACATAGCACAAATACTCTCTACATAATCTACTAAATTAATTCATGTATCTTTGGGGAGATTCTTTCGAATAGTGGAGGTTTTCCCCAGTAGATGCGTGAAGTAGGAAAAGGAACTTCAAAATCTAAAGACTACCTCCTAATATTGTATGTCAACTGTGATCGAAAAATATATTTTTAAAAAAATAACTTGAAGGACTTAAAGAAGATATAAATTAACTTCTCACAAACTTTAGAGCACTATTCTAAATAGTACTATGTTGGCTAAAAAGTCCATTGAGATGTTTTGTCCATAAAATAAAAGACACACTTTTCATTTTCACCAATAACTTTATTGATTTGGACATTTTGAGTGTGCTGGCTATCTCCCACGTGGTATAGTGCTGATTGTTCTCAACTGATGTCTCAATTTGATTGAGACATGTCTGCCCAACAACGGAGCATTGCCCACTGAGAAATCCCCATCAGGAAACTTCACAAACCACTTTTAACACGGTCCGTCAGTCACAGCACCTTCTCCATACACAGCATAGATCTTTTCTTTTTTTTTTTTTTGCACTTCAGGTGAGTTTTTACCTTTCTTGAAGTAATAAAGCATAATATGCCAAAAATGTTGCGTATTTTCTTCCATCTTCAATATTAAAATGACTACACAAAAATTCACCAATTTTGATGTTTTTTAAATGCACACTGGTAAGACAGCTGTCACAATACAATCTAACAACTAAGTGCTACTGCAGCCATTTTATGGAAAAAAATTCACCAATTTTGATTAAGTTTTTTAAATGCACACTGATATGACAGCTGTCACAACACAATCTAACAAAATTGTTTCCAATGAAGTTAGACAACTAAACACTTGTAGCACTAAGCACTTCTCTGACATATTACAGAAAAAAACCAAACAAGTTTTTGGCCAACCCAATACTAGATAAATAACAATCTTAAAATTCAAATTCCAAAGCCAATGTCAGTAAATGTCATGTTCTGCATTTCTTTTACCTTTCTGGCTTAAGAGTGTGTCTTTTTTAAAATATATTTTATTGACTATGCTATTACAGTTATCCCTGTTTTTCATCTTTGCACCCTCCACCTGGTACCCCCATTCCCTCCAGCAATAACACCCCTCAGTTCATGTCCATGGGTCATACATATAAGTTCTTGGGCTACTCCATTACCTATCCTATTTTTAATATCCCCATCTGTTTTGTACCTACCAATTTGTGCTTCTTAATTCCTGCACCTTTTCCCCCATTTTCTCTCTCCCCCCTCCCAACTGATAACCTCCAAATGATCTCTGTATCTATGATTCTGCTCCTGTTCTGCTTGTGTGCTCTGTTATTTGGATTCCATTATTGAGAGTTGGGAACTTGTTGCTATTTTAATGTTCCTTGTTTTGATCTTCTTTTACTTATATAATTCCCTTTAGCATTTCATATAAAAACGGCCTGGTGATGATGAACTCCTTTTAGTTTTACCTTGTCTGGAAAGCACTTTATCTGCCCTTCAATTCTGAATGATAGCTTTGCTGGATAAAGGTTGTAGGTCCTTGCTTTTCATCACTTTGAATACTTCTTGCCAGTCCTTTCTAGCCTGCAAAGTTTCTTTTGAGAAATCAGCTGATAGTCTTATGGGAACTCCTTTGTAGGTAACTCTACTTTTCTCTTGCTGCTTTTAAGATTTTCTCTTTATTTTTGACCTTCGGCATTTTAATTATGATGTGTCTTGGTGTGGTCCTCTTTAGGTCCATCTTGTTTGGGACTCTGTGCTTCCTGGACTTGTATGTCTAGCTCCTTCACCAAATTAAGGAGGTTTTCTTTCATTATTTTTTCAAACAAGTTTTCAATTTCTTGCTCTTCCTCTGCTCCTTCTATCACCCCTATGATTTGGATGTTGGTATGTCTAAAAATGTCCATGAGGTTCCTAAGCCTGTCCTTGTTGTTTTGAATTCTTTTTTCTTCCTGCTGTTATGATTGAATGCTTTTTCCTTCCTTGTGTTCCAAATCATTGGTTTGATTCTTAGCTTCATCCTCTCCTCTGTTAGGTCTCTGTATATTTTTCTTTATTTCACTTAATGCAAACTTCATTTCTGTCTGGATCTCATTTATGGCATTGAAGTACCGTATGAGTCTCTGGAGCATCCTAATTACCAGTGTTTTGAACTGTGCATCTGATAGGTTGGTTATCTGTTTCATGCAGTTCTTTTTCTGGGGTTTCATTCTGTTCTTTCATTTGGGCCATAATTCTTTGTCTCCTCAATTTGGCAGCCTCCCTGTATTTGTTTCTGTGCATTTGGTAGAGCGGCTTTGACTCCATCGTAGTGCACCTGTTACGCTGGATGGTGCAGAGCCTTAGGTAACAGCCAGGGCAGGGCAACCCGTGTCACAGCTCTGTTGCTCGGTGTGGGGTAGGTATTACAGGGAGGACAATGCCGCTACCTGGCCCCTGGAGTTTTGCCCAGGAAGAAGCTGTCTCCCCACTCACACTTCACTTTCTCCCCATATGCCACTGGTCCCTTCCCAGCTGTTAACCTGGTGCTGAATCCCAGAGGTGGTGGGTCTGTGTGAGTCCTAAGTTCACTGCAGGCCCTTTAAGAGGATGTAGTTTCTTCCACTGTCCTAACCCGCACTGGTTTTTATAGCCAGAAGGTACGGGGACATATCTTTCTGGCACTGGGACCCTGGGGCTGGGTGGTCTGGACTGGGACTGGGATCCCTCACTCCCCAGGTACCCCTCCCATTTTTTATCCACAACATGCGAATGTGGGACCGCCCATTTCTGTGTCCATGCCTCTCTGCGCCACACCGCATCTCCACCCCTCCTACTCATCTGGATGAATGTGGTTTCTTTAAATCCTTGGTTGTTAGACTTCCACACAGCTCAGTTTTCTGACAATTCTGGGTGATACCTGTTTTGCAGTGTAGCTTTTTTTGCTATAGTTGTACACAGAGGCAAGACCTGTTTACCTCCACCTTGACCAGAAGTCCCCTCTAAAGAGTGTCATTCACACTCAATCTGTGTATTACTTTCTGTTGTGCCTCAGCATGGTAGTTTTCAGTGTCAATCGTATGTGTAGTGATCGTGTAAAAACACGTAAGATTTACCATGTATTAATGCATTACACACATTAACATAGAATATTATTTTCCCTGCAATGGACCATTCTCCTCGTGCTTAAGAAATAGTATTGGGTATAGAAATTCAAAATGAATAGTAAGAAAACTAGATCAGATATGTGCATTGTGCTCAACACATATGTCAAAACAAGGCTAAATTTCAGTCAAATCTATTAATAAAAATACTCCATTTTAAATGAGCAGCAGATTTAAAAAACATGGTAAAACAACACTGTCTGTAATGTAAAGTTTTAAGCAAATAATAAGGAATCTCTGAAGAAAAGTCACCTTTTGGGGTTTCTTCATTAAGTGCCAGAAAGACGGGTGCGTTGGGGTTCCATATCCCAGTGATGACGTAGGCCCTCCCATCACAGCTCTTTCCCATGGACTCCTGGGAACGTTTGAAAAGGAACAGACACATCAAGAAAATCCTCATCTCAAACAATAAATGTATCTTACTTTAAACAATCCAATTTACTAAAATTTGGATTTATACTCAAAACGGGGGTTTATTGTCTTTGTAAATTTTTTTCACCCTACAAAAACATTTCTTTAAATATTAAATTCTCCTACAGCTTTCCTCAGAGAGTTTCTGTTTAGAGACACATACCTGTTGGTTATAAGAGGTACACTCTTCCATGCTGGATCACAAAAGCATAATATTGCTATGAAGTTATACTTACCTCGATCTTGGGCTGGGTGTCAAAATCTCATAATCTTACACATACCAGGATGTACACGGTTGCTATGAAAACTGTAGTATACATCTCGCTGATGACAGTTAAATTGAATAGCTAATCACAGGCAAAGATAGTATTCTCCTCTAATGCTCTAATTTTCAATATATTCTTAAAATATTAACTTACTTTGTCACAATCAATACTTTCACAGTGAACACTTTCCTACTATACATGCATCAGATATCCACATACTTTCTTACAATCACAAATCAACATTAGGAAACTTATATTGGTTTGTAATCATCATGGAAGTTTCTTGGCTATCTCCCTCTACCCTTACTCCCTCCTTCTTCCTTTCTCTCATCTTCTCTTCCTCTTCGTCTTCATTTCCTCTATTCTTTAAGACTTTTACCCAGCCAGCTCCTGACTCTCTCTACAGAAGCCAGCAACTCCCTATACTGAGAGCAAGACCACATGAAGTTGTATGTGTGTGTGCTGGGGGTGGGGAGGTTAAAGGCTGTCCCACAGAAGAGCACACAGAATATAAACATGTGCATATGCAAAAAAGAATATTATCCATATTACTTTCAATTTCCTGTATCAATTTCCTATTATGAATACAGAGGGTTCAATAGGTCAGACTAAAAGAAACTTTTTTTTTCAATATTACCTCCACACAAAAGCTTCTCTGAATCCCTAATAAAATTATTTCAGTCATTTGGTAACTACTATGCATATTTTTCTAGTGTACTGGTGATATTTCACTGATCAGACTGTACAGTTTGAGTGCGAGGGCCACATTCAATGAAATACCCTCAAGGTCATGTAAAGGAAACTCAGTACTTCCAACACTCATACATTCATATTCTCTCTCCCCCCGCATCTCTCCCTCCTCACCCCAATCTCTCTCCTTTATCCTCTCTCTCTCTACTTTCTAAGAGGACCTTTGTTAGGAACAAGAATGGGTACTTAACCTCCCCACAAAAAAAAAAAACAAAAAAACACTCCATCAGTGGATAAAAACTGCACTATGCTTAAGTCCAAAAAAAAAAAAAAATGAGCTAGACCAATCAAATTATTCCTTTCAATTAATAAATACCAAGGAAAGTGGGCCCTGAAAAGTGGAGCTGAAAGGGATGGTAAGAAGTCAGGTAATGGCAGGCTACGTGTAAAATGAAGTGAGATGATGGAAGGAGACCTGACTTGGGGCAGTAAACACACAATACAGTACACAGATGATGGATCATAGAATGGTACAGCTGAAACCTATGTAATTTTATTAACCAACATCACCCCAATCAATTCAGTAAAAATTAAAAAGTAAATAAAATGAAGTTGGATATGTGATAACAAAAACTGTACAATGGGGGAAACTGCTAAATGCTAAGACAGAAATGGAGAAAACAATTTTTAAAATCCTTTAAAATAATTAGTCATGCAGTCAAAAAACAAAGGCAAATTCTGGGAGGCAGGAAGGGGGAACGAAGCAGAGAGAGAGGCAGAGGAGAGACAAGGAGGGAGAGAGGCAAGGAGGGCAAAGGGGAGGAGAGAGAAGAGGGAGAGAAGGAAAGAAAGGGGCTGAGAGACTTTCCAGCGCTTTCAAAGTTTGTTAGAATAAAGTGTACAAAAGTGAAACTTGTTCTCAACAGTGTTCACATATTTGGACGGGTCAGAGAAGACACAGAAGTATTAGCGTCTTGCTCTAGGGGGCAGACATACCACAAATGAGGCCAGGTTACAGGGAATATGACATTGGGTGATTACAAAGGAATAACTTTGTAAGAGCCGAAGCTCAGTGACCGTGTATTAACCTAGTGTGGAGATGAACAGCACTGGGTAATAACAAATCACAGCTGCCGATAACTGCAAATGCAACCCCTGCCTGACCTCCTGTGTGTTGTACAGGTCAGCCCACCTCTCTTTCCGGGGCCTCAGTGCTGACCAGCCACTTGATTTCGACATGGACTCTTACTGGCGGAGACTGCACAGGGCCTCAGAAGTTCACGCCACGCCTGTAATTCTACAGGCTGAATTTAAATTCATGGAAGCATCTCTGCCAGAGATTCATCTTCACCTCTTAAACTCACAAAGACCATGACTAGTTAAGACCCAGGAGCTTCTAAGGGTTTCATGTCTCTGAACTACCTCCTCCAGGAATTTTCAGGGCTCCAACATTTTCTGGGTTGCCTCAGGCAAAAGCACTTGCATTACTGCTGTGCTGTAAAGAGGGATGGAGGACAGATGAATCGATAGCTAATTTGTTTTCACGTTCAATGTAACTGGCTGTCCTTACCTGACCCGTCCATGCGGTGCTTCCTCTACGTTTCTGTGGCTCACTGGGCCGACCAGATGAGAGCACTTAACCCACTGCTGTAGCTGCAGACTTCAGGGTCTGTTTCCATCACAAGACCATGAACCCACGGGTGGTCAGAGCTGTGTCCTACCTTATTCTACAACCCCGGCACTGCGCGCAGTCGGCACAGCACTGGGAGCTCAAAAACGCTGACTGAGCCATCCCAGCACCACTAGAAAAATCAATGGGCTGTCACCCGGAGATACAGAAAATGCTGACATAATTGGTGACATTTACCTGACATTTGAAAAACACCAGTGAACGGGAAAAAAACATGTAGTATTTGTTGTCACTAAATATCAAAATCGCAGTGAGGTAGAAAACTTTGTTTACTCTAAGATGACTATTTCCTACAACATTTCTAAATCACAAAGTAAATGTTTTCATTAACTGCAATATTAAAAGGTATTTCTGTTTAAAAGTTAAGATGGCCTGCTATCTTTACGTCGAATACCAACCCTAAAATACATATTGACCTTTACGGGCATTCCTGAAATAAATGCTGCGCCCGCAGTAAATACATTTTGCTGAGGACAGATAATCAAGGAGGAGAAATTCAGAGATGGAAATGCTCTTAAGAAAATAAAAGCAACGGTCACAATACTCAAGTTAATAACAATGCATTAAAATACATAAAAGGCACCGAATTCACCCTGGATATGCCTGTTATAATCATGTACTTGCTCTGTTGGGCTGAAAGAAAAGACATCCTTCCAAGAAGCCAAACAGACAAATGGATGGAGACTGTCATAACTCTGGCCTTTTACTGGCTTTCGAGTTGCACATGAATTTTTTGGAGGAATTTCCGCAAATCTCTCCCTCATTATTAATTTTAACTTTAGATTTTGAAATTTCATTATTACTACAATACAGCTGAAAGTTAGAAACAATTTTTCCAATACGACATAATTTTACAATAGAAAATACATTAAAAGCATTAAGTAACTATCATATCTTTACTTGGTTAATTAAAGTGCTTAAGGTTATCATTACCATATCCAGTAAATGCATGTCACTGTTCTTCACGTTTCGACCTGGGCTTAACAACATTCCAAAACATCTGAAAATATTGGGGGGAAGAAAGGAAAAATAAGGTATCAAGAATATATAGGAGCCCAGTGAGCAAAAATCTGTTATATAACAACTATACAACCTGAGCTCTGTACTTACAAATAGCTTTTTTTACAGAAATAGCACAAATAAGAATTCACTAAGATAAATAATAAAAATCATGTAGAAATTCCCAGATCTTTATTTTTGCATGTAAAAGATTACCAAAGATAAGAAAATGTGATAAAAATAAAAATGGCCACAAAATTATTGATGGAGACAGAATACAGTAATGAGATACAAATTGTTTCTAGATAGAAATGAGATTTTATTTGCCTTAGAGTTATTCTAAATATATAGGTCAAAGTCATCCAACCCAGTTAAATTAAAAGTGAGATTTAAGAAAAAAGTAAGAATAAGATACTTTGCTCTCCCTTTTGCATCAAGCTGTGTTAACAGAAACAGTCACCCAGGCCCTCAACAGTCATGCTGACTGAACAGCTTATTAAAACTATGTCCTCAGTTTGGGAAAAAAAAGTGGTATGAAACACATTACTAAAAACATTATATTAGTGAAAATATTATCCAATGTACCATTAACCATCTGCTTTATTCTATGCTTACTGATGCTAAAGAAATGTGAGAAATCCCACTGACACTACCCCTTTATTTGTAAGGATTTTAATAAGCTCCAAACTTCAATTAAATATAACATTTTTTTATTTGTTAGGGTATTATTGTTAATTCTGCTTTAAAGGGAAGCGAAGTCCAGAGAAGTTGAACAATTTACCCAACTTCACACGGCTATTCCACAGGTCCTGTAATTCCAGAGGCCATGTGATCGGTCCAGTGTCTCTCTGCCAACACCGCATATCCACACTTCCTAGAGTGCTTTCTAACATTTATTTATTTATAGACGGGAAGAAAGGGGGAAAGAGAGGGGAAAAGAAAAACTGACTGGCTGCCTCTTACACATGCCCCTACTAGGACCCAAACCAGGGACCGAACCCACAACTCAGGCACAGGCCCTGACCAGGAATCGAACCTGCAACTGTTTGCCTTGCAGGATGACACCCAACCACCTGAGCCACACTGGTCAGGGCTTCCTAGAGTGTTTTTACTACAGCTTTCCAAAATTTAAAAATATAATATGGAGCATTTCACACAAGAAGTAGAGAACACAGATCAACTACATATAAGATTTTTTTTTAATTTCAAAAAATGTGGTAGCTGGCCAGTCAATATTTAATCTGATCCTTGTTATTTACCAAAGGTTTACTTTTCTAGTGGCGTTGGCTCTCTTCCCCATGAACAGGTGATTGACCCTGTCCAAATACGAGCTCAGTAAGCAGTAAAACAGTATATACTTCCTCTGAGTACTTTAGGATACTTTGCTCAAGATTCCCCTTTGGCCTCCAAAAATAATCAAGTATGTAACGAAGATAATCTTGATACGCTCCGAGGACAGCTTTCCAAGCTTATTATTGTATCACTGAACAAAACATAATCTACTACAATACAGGCAATCATACTCTGATAGTCATAATTGTAATATGATTACTATATACTGTTTGGTCTCCCTCCTATGAACTCCTATAATAAACACTATCTGTATAAATGAAAAGTTAATTAATCATGCAACTACTGTACTATGTCTTCTACTATTGCCTTATATTCTTGATAAGAAAGAATAAAAAAGTTCATTCTTTTCAGATATAAAATGTGGTCCCCAGCTAAAAGTCAGGTCAGTGAGACAGACTTGCCTGACACTTGCCTGTATAGTAGTCCCCCTACCCTCCGGGGGTTCGTTCCCAGACCCTCGGTGGGTGCCTGAAACCACAGATGGCACCAAACCCTATGGACCCCACGTTTATCCTATACATGCACAACCCTTCACTTCAAGGAAGCACCTTACAGCTTCTCTTTGGCATGTCCGAAATGCTGGCATCCCTCCTGCTGCCCTTGAGGGTCATTACGAAGTAAAATGGGGGTGCCTGGACCACCAGCCCTGCGACACCTCAACAGCAGATCTGAAAACCGAGGCGGCAACTCAGTCACTAACAGGCAGGCAATGTGCATGGCCTAATTTTGTCATACTACAAAAAAAACAGCATGCAATTTAAAACTTATATATTGTTTATTTCTAGAATTTTCCAACCAATATTTTTGGACCATGGCTGGCCAGGGTAACTGAAATCATGGAAAGTGAAACTGTGGAAAAGAAAAAACTACTGTATATTTTGCTTGTTTTCATCACTCGTGGATTTTTTAAAAGAACAATTCCCCAGCCCCACCTGGTGGCTCAGTGGAACCCCAAAAGGTCGCAGGTATGACCCCCCAGTTAGGGCACACATCTGGGTTGCAGGTTCAGTCCCTGGTTGGGGCATGGATGAAAGGCAACCAATCGATGTTTCTCTCCCTCTCTCTTCCTCTTCCTTCCCCTCTCTCTAAAATTATGTCCTGAGGTGAGGATAAAAAAAGAACAATTCCCTATATTATAGGGTTTTTAAATTATAAAACTACTATATACTCATTGTAAAAAGTTAATGAATACCAAAGTATATAGCAAAAAATCAATTCTCCCTTCTCTATCTTAGCCTCCTTCGAAACCAATGCTAACAGTTTAGTATGCAGCCTCCCTACCTTTCTTTTTGCTTTTTTAAAACATTTAAACTCTTATATTATTTAGTTGTCTAGCACTTGCAGATAAATGGTGCAATTTTATATTTCCTTAATATAATATTCCTATGTTAAGCTCAACTGCAAAAGGAGCCTTGGAAGTTTAGGTTTTCCTTAACTGGCAACGCATATTACCTTATTTTGATGATCTTTGATGCACTGTTCTTTTTCTGGGTTATAAATAAAAAATCCTGCCACCAACTAGCAGTGTGACCTTAGAGAAAGCACCTGACCCCCTCGGGCCTCTGCTTCCTCCTTTGGAAAAGAGAAGTGTAACAGGTACACTCTGCGGGCTCTTCCAGCACTAAATTTGCACAACTTTTTTCCTATCAATATCAAGCTGCATTAGTCATTTCCAAAATTATACTTCATTAAAGCACACCAGGTTTCCTATGGAGACAAGCAAGGTCTATTAGGAATAATGTGTCAGTAATTAGATAGATATTATTATTACCACAAACACCTAAGGCAAATATTAAGTGTTTCACTGGGGAATTCAAAGTATTCAACCTTCTCTTATTAACTCTATAAATAATGTAGAAAGCAAATTGCTTTCACACCTATTTTCTCAAGGAGCTCACAGTCTAGGATGGGAGAAAAATAAGTAAACAGGCAATTACAACCTGATATGGTAAGTTCTCTGAGCGCTGTAGTGCAGAATGTTAACCAGGCAGAGCGAGACACGCCCAACATTATTTATCACATACTGCAGTGAACAGCTGACCTGCCCAGAATGTGAAATCGAACCTCTGAGAATGAGATGATACTATCATATTAATTATACCAGCTATTGTTTATTGAATGTCTGCTTTATTTTATTTATTATCATTTATTCTATTACAACTGTCCTAACTTCTCCCCCTTGGCCCTCCTCCGCCCAGCCCACCCCGCTCCCACAGTCCATCTCCACACCGTGGTCCATGCTCATGGGTCATTCGTACATCTTCTTTGACTCGTCCCTTCCCCTTCTTTCCACCATTTCCCCCGACCTCTCCCCTCTGGCAGCTGTCAGTCTGTCCCATGTTTCCAGGTCTCTGGTTACTGAAACTTATAAGTCAGACATTACTATATTGTTACATTTATATTTCAAACCCACCTTCTAATAACCTAGCAAAAAAACTATTGTTCCAAAAAGTAGAAGTGATTTGCCCAAACCACACACCTATTAAGTGTAACACTGGACTAAAGCCCGCGTCTGTGACTCCCAAACTGTGTGGTCTCTTCTGCACTGCACCCTGGCCGCCTCCCTGGCTTTCTGGTAGAACGGACTACACGTTAACACTGAGAACTAGAGCAGTGCCAGTCACAGATTATCATTACAATTACCACTACAAATATGAAGAAAAAGTTCGGCTTTCCACAATACCTAATGAGATTTTACTCAACACAGAGTTTAAAACAGCTTTTAACACCAAGTTAGCGCCCATACCAACACAAAAACTCTGTATCTAGCATTGTTTTAGACTTAATGATGGAAAAATAAGTGAGAAAAATAAAGGGGATATGTTAACGTGCTGCAATAGGAAACATCCTTTTTTAATTTTCCCTCTTTGTCCCTGGAATCATTAGGACGCTACACACGGCCATGAAGACTATGGTGAGAAACAGGAAGGGAGGGGAAAGGAAGGAGGCAGGCCTCTGACGAGGATCCATTCAAGACGACTGTCTCTTACTAAACCTCTGTCATTAAAGATGAAAAGTGACAGCACGACAGGAGGGACAAACGACTGCAAGCAACAAAAGCTAGAACTCAATCATGGCTTTTTAGAACAATATATAAAAATGATAAATAATTTCATAGAAATTGAATTCCAGTTAGTCTCAACCTGAAAAAGTTAAAGCAAAAGACAGTTAGAAAAAATCTCCTACATACAATTATTGGGATTGTTTTTGCCTTACTGAAGGATCCAAAGTTAAGAAAGGCACACAGGCATTCCTCACTAGGCACAGTAGTGTGGAACTGTGCAACAGATACAAAAGTGACCTTCTGTATATATCGATTTTTCTCCCCGGGAGAAACTGCCATTGTTCTGTGACCTTCAAATATTGGTAGAGACAAAATCTACAGTATAACCAGAGACGCAGGTGTTTGAGGCAGGGAAGGGGACAAGATCTTCAGACAAACACAAGTCAAGAAATTAAGCAGCTAGATTATCAGAAAAATCATCTACATAGATACGAAAACTGCCCAAAATGAAGAGAAGCCTAATGCTTAAAATGACGGCGAGCCAGAAGCTCAATCTTCAAAGAACGACGGGAGCCCCAAGGATGTGCAGGCGGCAGCAACGAGAAAGGGGAGTGTGAAGGACAGAGAGGGAGCAATAAGAAAGC